ATATCTCATTAAAATTTCTGAAGGATATAAAATTGTTTATTAGCAAATATATATATATATTCCATAATATATATATATATATATATATATATATATATAGAAAAAGTTTCAAAAAAATTATAATGTTTTATTTTATGAAAGTATTTATTTATTTTTATATATATATTTGATATTTCAAATTGTCCTCAATTTTTCATCAGAAATAACTGTTTGTTACAAATAAATTAAAATTACTGTTTGTTAGCAAGTAGCGTTCGCGAGACGCGGACGTCACGTGATATGGAACGTCACTGTTCGGATATTCCTAACTTAAATCTAACTGTCATAAATATTTAAAAAAATTTTTTTTACTACTATAAAAAAAAAATTCTTAACTATTGAAATATTTATAAAGATTTAAAACACCTAAGTCCCTATTCAACCCTAGTTTATGTGTATTTAATTTTAAAATCCAATATGTTTTTTTTTTCTGCGTGTGAATGTGGAAGTAAAATCGAATCTATTAATAAACATTGCAGTTTTTTCTAATGTGTGTCCTGATTAATTGTAGTGTTTAGCTATAATAAGGGTTGTTTTGACGTATTGTTTGTTTATGGTAAAATGAAATCTAAAATTTTTCCAGACTCACCAATATATATATTATATAATGCAGAATATATATATAGAGAGAGAATAAAGAATTATATTACATTTATTTCAATATATTTGCACAGATTAACAGAAATGATAAATTATATTAAAAGAAATAAAACAAAAAATAATTTTATAATTTTCAATTTCAAAATTAAATATACATATCCTGAAGATTAAAAATATTAAAACAAAATAAAAAAGAAAATTAAAATGGCTCAAAATTTGCATCCTTTTATCTTGGTCAAAGATTGCAAATTTGAAAAAATTTTTTATATCCATAATGTGTTTTAATATAAGTTATAAAAAATCTTAATTTTATCTGAAACAAATTTTGAGGAATTCCATCTACACTGCCTAATATTATTTACTACAACAACATTGTTATTATTATTGTTTTAGAGAGCAGATTGTCAACACATTGCTGCTGGTGTACAAATATTTAAAAAAACAATGTACCCATCATTGCACCAAAGTTTGATAAGACTGATTCCTTTTCTGTTGTTTATCAACCCTTTGCAGGTTATTTAAAGCCAGAAAATATTTTTAGATTGCAGCAATTTTGGGGGTAGGTAATAATGTCTTAGTGATACAAGCTTTACTATTTAACCCATAGCTGGGAAAAGATGACGTGGATTCATACCTTTTTCAAGAGTATTTGCGCATAAGTGAAATAATAATATAATTAATTATATAATTATAATGTGTATATAAAGTGGGGGATCAATTCTATATTACAATTAATATATACACTGATCCCTCTAAAACTGGTCCTTTTATATATTTCTATTCCAGTGTAAATAAATCTAAGACATTTGTCTATATTTCTGAGATTTCTCATTCAACTATTTACACTACTTACATTGTTTGGACTGTTGTTCTCATCTTTATTGTCATATCCACAATGTTTCGTCGATTGTACAACCCCCATCTTTAGGATCTGACTATATTTCTTAAAGGAGTAATTGTAACTATTTACACTATTTACATTGTTTGGACTGTTGTCTTCATCTCTAATATCATATTCACAATGTTTCGCCCATTGTCCAAAGCAGCCTTCTTCAGGGTCTGACTGTGTTTTTGAAAGGAGTAATTGTAACTATTACATTGTTCGAACTGTTGTTCTCATCTTTATTGTCATATTCACGATGTTTCAGCTGTTGTACAAGCAAGCCTTCTTCAGGATCTGACTATATTTTTGAAAAGTGTAATTGTATGTATTTACACTATTTACATTGTTCAGACTGTTGTCTTCATCTCTAATGTCATATTCACAATGATTCAGCCATTGTACAAGCCAGCCCTCTTCCGGATTTGACTATATTTCTGCGATTTCTCATTCAACTATTTACGCTATTTACATCATTCAGACTGTTTTTCTCATCTTTATTGTCATATTCATAACGTTTCGACCATTGCACAACCTGGCCATCTTCAGGAGTTGACTGTAATTCTGAAATGAGTAATTGTAACTATTTACACTATTTATATTGTTTGGACTGTTGTCTTCATCTCTAATGTCATATTCACAATGTTTCAGCCATTGTCCAAGCCAGCCTTCTTCAGTGTCTGACTGTTTTTCTGAATGGAGTAATTGTAACTATTTACACTATTTATATTGTTTGGACTGTTGTCTTCATCTCTAATGTCATATTCACAATGTTTCAGCCATTGTCCAAGCCAGCCTTCTTCAGGATCTGACTATATTTCTGAATGGAGTAATTGTAACTATTTACACTATTTACATAATTCGGACTGTTGTCCTCATCTTTATTGCCATATTCATGTTGTTTTGGCTGTTGTACACTCCAGCCTTCTTCAAGTGATATATGTTGGTATTTCAAGCTATGCTTTTTCAAGATATCTTGGTTAATTCCCTTAGTAACTCAACTCTCCAAGTCTTGTTCACCTCTGTTGTGGTCAGGTATTGAACTCACAACTCCTTGAGATCAAGTCACTTTTGGATTACTTCACCCTACATTTTTCACCACTGAGCCATGTGTCATGTTTATAAAGCCATAACATAAGGGGAAATAGAAAAATCAGATGTGACTGACCTTATATGGGAAGAAAAGGGAGATCACTGACTTTGTGGGATGAAGTTGAAATAATAGTGAAAATCACTGGAAAATATAAAAGCATAAGGAATCGGAACATATGCTAGACTATAAAAATCTCCAAAGCCAGAGAATCATTGACATAAATAGAATATGGGAACCAGTAATACAGGGAGAGGAAAAGAGCAATAACAATAAATTGTAATATGAGCTCTGGTAAAAAAAACAAAATGGTTACTCAGACATTAGGTTTATAAGTCCTAAAAATTCATACACTAATATTCCCAAGTGGCCCACTGGATTAAAAGATTTAGTTAAACTAATCCCATGACTTGTCCTAAAGAAGTGTGAGTTCAATACCTGGCCACAGCAGATGTGCACAAAACAGAGTTTTAAGGGAATTATCTAATACCTGATAAAGATGTGGAACTAGAACAATCTACTGCCATGGACTAAATAAAGAGTTCGGTTCAAAATGCCAATGTATATCACCTGAAGATTTCTATCTTTTACTTTAAATATCCCATTTTAAGAAATGCAGGGTGGCCTCAAATGTTTTGCCTGTAGTGTATCTCTGTCAAGCATACAAAATCATGTGCATCTGATCTGTCACTTGACTTTGGACTGATAGTTCATCTATCAGGTTTATCCGAGTGCTTATTTTGGCATAATCTATGGTGAGATCTATGCTACATAAATATAATGATGCCATTGTATATCAGCATGCCAGAAATGATTTATAGATGATATAATATTTCAGGTTTATATTCGCAATAACAGTTAATTGGTCATTATAAAACATGCATGTCGCAATATGCATTTTATACAAACACCATGCAGAACAATTCAAGGAGATATTCACACCAATTGGAATATCAGAGCAAGTTATATGTGATAAGTAACTTTGGTAAAACAATCACAGAGAAAAGTTTGTGATGTGTGTAACCCTAAACCTAAACCCAGAGATTTTATTTCAGTAATTTTTCTATCTACTCTTTGGCATATCGGTTATTTTCCTAAGTGGAAGCCATTAGAGCAAGCAGATTTGCTATAACTAATAATTGGGCCCAGTGATGACGTTCGTAATGCACTTGTGATAATGAGCATCAGGTTTTAAGGATTAAGTTTTCTCGAAAGAATGACACAGTTTTTTCTGTTTCTTTTTTTTTTTTTTAGTAGTTAGGCTTAACTAATTGAGTGTACAGGTGTAGTACCTGAGGAAAACAGGTTCTGTCCCAGGCTGAGAATAAAGGCCAAGTTACCCAATTTATTTTATCTTTCTTCAAAACTAGTAGAACCCAACAGAAATAAGGGTGTTTGATTTGATTCTACAAGTAAATGAGAAGGTTTGTTTGCTAAAAATAAATGAGGGAGAAAGATAAAAAGCCATCGGGTTTTATAATTGAGAAAAGCCAGGAGCAGGGATTCCCAGGTAGAGGAGAGAAATAGAGCTAAGGAGGGTGTGGGCTGAATGTAGATGAATTCTGACATAAGTTAAAAGGGTGTTTCCCAAAGGGTGTTTGACTTGGGTGGAGTAAGGGCTATCATTTAGGCTCCTGAGGCTTCTAATTATGAATCAAGGTTCAGGGATAATGCTGGGGGAGGAAAAGAGAAAGTGGAAAAGAAAACAGTGTGGTAAAGAGCTTGGGCAAAGGCTAAAGGTAAAGAGAAAGAAAGAAAGAAAGAAAGAAAGAAAGAAAGAAAGAAAGAAAGAAAGAATATCAAAAAAGGATTGTAAAAGAAAGAAAGGCAGAAAGAAAGAAAGAAAGGCAGAAAGAAAGAAAGAAAGAAAGAAAGAAAGAAAGAAAGAAAGAAAGAAAGAAAGAATATCAAAAAAATTGTAAAAGAAAGAAAAGAAAAGAAAAAAAAAAAAGAAAGAAAGAAAGAAAGAAAGAAAGAATATCAAAAAAGGATTGTAAAAGAAAGAAAGAAGGAATATCAAAAAAGGATTGTAAAAGAAAGAAAGGCAGAAAGAAAGAAAGAAAGGCAGAAAGAAAGAAAGAAAGAAAGAAAGAAAGAATATCAAAAAAGGATTGTAAAAGAAAGAAAGGCAGAAAGAAAGAAAGAAAGAAAGGCAGAAAGAAAGAAAGAAAGAATATCAAAAAAGGATTGTAAAAGAAAGAAGAAAAGAATATCAAAAAAGGATTGTAAAAGAAAGAAAGGCAGAAAGAAAGAAAGAAAGAAAGGCAGAAAGAAAGAAAGAAAGAAAGAAAGAAAAAAGAAAGAAAGAATATCAAAAAAGGATTGTAAAAGAAAGAAAGGCAGAAAGAAAGAAAGAAAGAAAGAAAGGCAGAAAGAAAGAAAGAAAGAATATCAAAAAAGGATTGTAAAAGAAAGAAAAAAGAAAGAAAGAAAAAAGAAAGAAAGAAAGAATATCAAAAAAAGGATTGTAAAAGAAAGAAAGGCAGAAAGAAAGAAAGAAAGAAAGAAAGAAAAGCAGAAAGAAAGAAAGAAAAAGAAAGAAAGAAAGAATATCAAAAAAGGATTGTAAAAGAAAGAAAGAAAGAAAGAATATAAAAAAAAGGATTGTAAAAGAAAGAAAGAAAGAAAGAAAGAAAGAAAGAAAGGCAGAAAGAAAGAAAGAAAGAAAGAAAGAATATCAAAAAAGGATTGTAAAAGAAAGAAAGAAAGAAAGAAAGAAAGAAAGAAAGAAAGAAAGAAAGAAAGAATATCAAAAAAGGATTGTAAAAGAAAGAAAGAAAGAAAGAAAGAAAGAAAGAAAGAAAGAAAGAAAGAAAGAAAGAAAAGATCAAAACAGGATTGGAGAAAGAAAGAAAGAAAGAAAGAAATAAAAGAGTGGAGGAAAAAAAAAGAAAGACAAATGAAAAAGGATTGAAAAAGAAAAAGCTAAAAAAAGAAAGAATGAAAGCAACTTTCTGTACAAACAATCAAAATTGATTCCTGCATTTAAGTATTGCATTAATATTTGAGCTTACATTTTAAAAGATCAACGATAATTCCTCTGTCACCGTTTAATTTAAAGACAATTTGATGTATGTAGGTCCTGATTTCTGTACAAGTAACCATTTTTCATGGGCGATTTTCACAGGATTTTGCAATTCATTTTGATTATTCCCAAATTTATTTCCAAGTTATAAAATATGCTATCGTACAAAAAATTTTGTCGCAAAAAAATCAAGTAAAAAATTGCCAAAAACATTCACAGTAATGAAAACTTGGGAATCCAAAATTTCAGGATTGCAATGTTTCTGGAATGTTTTTCATTTGCTCACAGAGTTGGCTTGATTCCAAAATGGTATGACATGTTGTGCTACGGCCCCTAGGAGTAAAGTTGAAAAAGTGTGACACAGTGACACACTGACATTTGCATTTATTTATGTAGAAGAAATGAAAACAGAAAATAAAGAAAAAAAAGGTTTGAGAAAAGAAAAATGCTACAAAAAGAATGAATGAAAAGCATAAAAAATAATGGAACAAAAAAAAATAAAAATAGGAAAGATGGAAAAAAGAAAGAAAAGATAAAAAAAAGGATTGAAGAAAGAAATAAAAAAGAAGTTTTGAAAAATGAAAAAAGCTGGAAAAGGAAGGAAGAATGAAAAGTTAGGATATTGAAAAAGAAAGAAATAACAACAGAAAAGAGAGAAGAAAAAAAGAAGGAAAAATATTGAAAAAGAAAGAAATAAAAACAGAAAAGAGAGAAAAAAGAAAGAAGAAAAAATATTGAAAAAGAAAGAGATACAAACAGAAAAGAGAGAAAAAAGAAAGAAGGAAAAATATTGAAAAAGAAAGAGATAAAAACAGAAAAGAGAGAAGAAAAAAAGAAGGAAAAATATTAAAAAAAAGAAAGAAAAACAGAAGAGAGAAAAAAGAAAGAAGGAAAAATATTGAAAAAGAAAGAGATAAAAACAGAAAACAGAGGAAAAAAAGAAGGAAAAATATTGAAAAAGAAAGAAATAAAAATAGAAAAGAGAGGAAAAAAAGAAGGAAAAAATTTGAAAAAGAAAGAAATAAAAATAGAAAAGAGAGGAAAAAAAGAAGGAAAATATTGAAAAAGAAAGAAATAAAAACAGAAAAGAGAGGAAAGAAAGAAGGAAAAATATTGAAAAAGAAAGAAATAATAACAGAAAAGAGATAGAAAAAAAAGAAGGAAAAATATTGAAAAAGAAAGAGATAAAAACCGAAAAGAGAGAAAAAAAAGAAGGAAAAAGATTGAAAAAGAAACAAAAATAGCAGAAAAGAGAGAAAAAAAAGAAAGAAGGAAAAGATCGGAAAAAGACAAAAAAAAAGAAAAAAAACCTAGAAAAGAAAGAAAGTTTAAAAGAAAGAAAGAAAGAAAGAAAAATATTTTAAAATGATTAAAAAGGAATAAATGAAAAACCAGAAAAGAAAAAGAATGAGTCACATGAGGATTCGAGCATACTACCATTGTTCAACTTCTGATCACACGTGGCTATGCATGCTCTCCTAAAACTGCAACTAAAGTCCACACAGCATAATTGCACTATAAACCACTTGTTGACACTGTGGAAGAAACAAATGTCTCTAAGCAGGTGTCTGTGACAGCAGGGATAAGGTAGCCACCTTAACAGACAGAGCTGCTTGGAAAGTATTGGCTGGACATTACATATTTCACTGAACAAAACTAACAAATACTTTTGTTTAGCTTTTATTACGTTTTTTTTTTGTATGCGTACAAGTGTTGTTGTTTATGGACATAATGAATGTAGAAATTGTCCAAAAGTTTGTTGATTCCAAGCACTTTCAGCTAAACTATTAGACCTTTTCAAGGATTTTTCTAATACAACTATAATAAATGTTACGCAAGTGTTGTGGTAGATGGTATAAAAGTTGCTGAAAGTCGCTATATTCTTCCTTTTCAAATACAGCCACTACACTGAGGTCATTTTCCTTTACCATCTGCTAACTTCAGCTTAGTTTTAGTATATAAGCAGAGTTAGCAGATGGTAAAAGACTTTTCAAATGAATCAACTGATATTGACGTTCTTGGTAGCTCCTTCACCAAAACAACCTCTTAAATTGAGTATCTGTCTATATTTCTTAGATGAGGTATTATGTACACTATTTACATTATTTCAGGGAAGTGGAAAAATCAGGCATAGATGATCACATCTGGAGAGAAAAGGAAGATCACTGCCCTCTGTGGGATCAGGTTGAGATCATAGACAAAGAACGCCATTGGAAAATTCATAAACTTAAGGAAGCAGCACATATGCTAGGCCACAAAAATCTCCTGAGTGGTCCAAGCATAGAAATGAATACAATATAGGAACCAGTTATAAGGAGAAAAGCGATAATAACAACAAAAATTGTCATTGTGAGGTATTGTCATAAAACATGTAATGATATCAGTAAAAATTGCAATATGAGCACTGGTAAAAAATAGGTTGCTGAAGACATTAGGTTTATAATACCCCAAAATTCATACACAGATGTCCTCAAGGACACATGGCACAGTGGATAATGGCACAGTGGGTAAAAGCGTTAGTTAGATCCAGTGACAGGACCCAAAGAGTGTGAATTCAATACACGATTAAGGCGGTGGAAAAGAGGGGTAATCAACAGGAGATAACTGATAACTGACATCCATTATAGATGTCACTAGAACAGCCTACCCCAATGAGCAAAATAAATAGCTCAGTTTGACATTCTGAAGAATATAACGGCCAAAACATTATAATAAAGATGAGGACAATAGTCTCTCTATACTGCTCTTAAATTGATGTATTCTCTGTCATGTTTCACTGATTGGATAATAGTTCTTTTTTTTCATTCTCTCATATTAAAGGAGATGAAAAAGATGAAATTTTAGAGTATAACTGGCATAATAACAAAAGAGAGTAAGCTTAAAGAAGCTTTATTCTGCTTAGAATAATTGATACAAGCGTAATAACTATTTCTCTACAAAAAGAAAGAGTTCTCCAAAGGGAGGTAATCATAAAACAAGGGAGATTACTCTACTATATACTATAGTACTATATAGTACTACTATAACCAGTAACATCCTTTTGGTCATATAAATAAGAAAGGCGAGTCAAAAATAAATTTTAGGAGTATAAAACAAATTCTTAGATGAGATTTTCTTCGGAGTAATTTAATAGTATTAGGAAAACATGATAGACAGAAAATTTCTGAGATGGACAAACAATATGGTTTCCTCTTTGCCTGTCCTACCGCTGATGTGCTTGTGGCCATAACCAAATATGCATACCAAGCTTGAGCTTCAAGATAATAATGGTAAAGCTTGAGCTGTGACTTGAGATATAACGAAGGTGTTTGACAAGGTTTGGCATGCTGGCCTTCTATGTAAGCTTCAGGGATATGGTATTACAGGATGATTATTTGATTTAATCCAATCATTCCTGACTAACAAAGAAATGATGGTTCTCCTGAATGAGTTCTCTTCCAGATCCTTCCGTACAAATGCTGGTGTTCCTCAAGGCTCTATCCTTGGTCCTACACTGTTTCTGATCTTCATCAATGATCTTCCTGATGTTATCAATTCTCAAGTCGGCATCTATGCAGATGACACTATCATTTACTCCTGTCTCAACAATAAATCCGACATTGCTGACAAAGTTAATCTGGCTGATGGTCTTCAAAACGACCTCTAATCTGTAATTGACTGGGGCTTGTGAATTTGAATGCATCCAAAATAAAACTGCTGTCATTTACTCACCATAGAGAAATGTTCCTGCCTCATGGTTGATGCTCAACTGCACGTGAGTGTCTCACTGTGCTTTCTTAGTCTCATGTTTTGCACTGACTTGAGGTGGAATGTATAGCTGCAAGGAAAGTTGGTTTTCTGTGTCACGCCAGAAGATCTTTCAGATCTACAAGTCTACCATTTGTCCATGCATGGAATACTGTTGCCATATATGGTCTGGTGTCCCAGATGTTCATCTCGAGGTTCTTGACAAAATCCAAAAATGGATATGTCCTGACTTGGGTTCTCGAATCCAGTCGCTTTCTCACTGACGTAATGTGGCTTCTGTCTTTTTTATAAACATTTTCATGGCAACTGTTCTGACAAGCTATTTTCACTGGTACCCCAACTGCATGAATTTAAGTGTGCTACTAAGTTGGCATCTTAGTCCCATCCTTTTACTGTCAAAACAGTTAAATGTAACCACCTCTTCTATTCCAACCGCGTCTTCTCTTGCACTTCCCAACAGTGGAATTCCCTTCCTCTTACTTGCTTCCTTGATAGCTATAATCTTCAAATATTCAAATGTAATGTCAATCGACATCTTCTGATGCCTTGATCTTGATCCCCCTCCTTCTCTTTATCCTTTCCTCAAACACCCCTCTTTACTCTTACTCTCATCTTCTCTAAAAACCCCCTTTGCGTGCTAGTCTCACTCGCTTGCTTGAGGGGTGAATTCTTAAAAAAAAAACAAAAATCTATAGATATTTTAATATTATACTTTATATTATTAAAATCTGTAATCCCCTCCTTTAAAAATCTTTCACTTTTTGTAAATGAACCATTTAATTTTTAAATAAACACTTTTTAATTGTTGAAAATCATTCCCTTCATCTGTCGAGAAAAAAAATTAACTCTATAAACTGATCCTCTTTTCTCTTTCTTCAATCTTAAACCCTTGTGTGCTAGTGGCACAATTTTTTTGACATTAATTATGTTAAATTGCTTAAAAAAGGTAAGAAATATTGTTTTACTTTTTTATGCAACAGCTGGATGCACATTTTATACATTTTGCTTTATTGATCCAGAAAATTCTTAAAACACCTTTTGCGGACATATCTTATATGGCATCAGATCAGATTAATTATATGAAAGAACGGGTATAAAAGGCAAAATAATATAATATTTCAAGGATGTGAATAAGTGATTGATTGAAACCACCATACCAAATCCAAAGACGGATAAAAAAATTTGATAGGTCCTGACCTGTCATCTCAACTTCAGTTACAAAGAAAGATGTGATGTATATTTATTAAAATTTTCCTACAAATATTTTCATGGCATAAAATGACAAGTTATTTTCACTGTTATTTATAAAAGCATGAATTTAAGCATGCTACTAGGTTGGCATCTTGATCCCATCCTTTTACTGTTAATGTAACCACCTCTTCTGCTCCAACAGCTTCTTCTCTTGCACTTCCTGACAGTGGAACTCCCTTCCTCTTACTTTTGCTTCCCTAAGAACTATAATCTTCAAAAATTTAAATTTCAGTCGATATCTTCTGTTGCCTTGGTCTTCGATATTCTTTTTAATCTCCTTTGTTCTTCATTTTATCCTTTCCTCCACCCCCTTGCCCAGTCTTTTCCTTTACTTATACTCTCTGTATCTCCTTGCGTACTAGTGGCACTTCTGCCTTGCTTGGGGTGAAATGCTTAGAAAAAGTGACGGACAAAGTAGAGGAATTGAGATTGACATAATTGGAATGTCTTTGGAAGGCAAATAAAGATACAGGATCCTTCAAAACAATTTAATTTTAATTTTGGCTCAGATTGAGGAATCAAAGATCCGAGTTCAAAAATTTTTCGAATCCATTACATTCATTTATAAAATTAAAATTCTTGGGAAAGGTTTGAAATCTTTTTTTCTTCATGCAGCTATGGTAAAAATAGTAGGACAGACCAAGTTCTATAGCTTGATGGCAACTGGTCTATATTGCAGAAAAAAAAAACCAAACTGTGGGAAAAAAAAAAATTTTGTTTTCAGTCATGTATCGAAAGATACATGATTTTTTAAAGTATGAAATTTAGATGCATGGCACAAGGTTTGACTGATGTTAACTGACAGACAGAAACTTCTTAAGGAGATGATGCAAAAACAATTTTTTTTTGGTATGAACAGAAAAAGATAGATCGATTACTTAAATGCACCAAAAATGTTTCAGGACACGAAGAAATCATGGCTGAAAAAACAAACTTTATCTTTTGTGGGTCTTTCTCCATTTGCTAGGGTCCCAAACCTCATGTTTGTCCAGCCATACAAAGAATCTTTAAGAATGGCTCAACAAATTTTTATCTCACTTGCAATCCATATGACCCATGATCGTAAAATTTTCCAAACTTTCTGTTATATTTCGTGCAAGATATAATAAAAAAATAAATTTTGAGTGATGGTTTTCAATAATAGGTTTATAATCGGATGTAGGTTGAAAATACTTTAGATTTCGGGAAAAATTATTAAAAAAATAAATGTGTTAACAAACGAAGACTTGTGACTGTCCGCTATCAAAGCCTTAATCGGCAAACCAGTCCGTCCATTATTAAATATAAAAAATAAAGTTTTTATTCATCACAACACTTTTTGTTAATTTCATTATGTCCCATTAATAATTTTTTTTTTAATGTGTTTTGAAATTACCATATCAAAAAAGACATATGTTTTTAAAATTAACCCTTTCCATAAATTTTCAGTATCTTTTCTTAGAAAAAAGATAGATAGATAGATAGAAAGATAAATATGAAGAATCTTAAAAAATGAATAGATAATTAACTTAAAAATAAAGAAAATAGATAGATAGATAATAGATAGAAAGGAAAAGAATGAATATGAATTGTTTTGAGATAGAGAAATAAATTCCAAACAGTCTTAGATATCATTGAAGAAGATGAGATAGATTAGATAGATAGATTGAATTAAGAAAAACTGATTGTTTTGATAGATATGAACAGACTGAGAGAGATAAAAAACAAAACAGCCAAAGATAAATAGATTGAAAACAATGTAAATAGATAAAAAAATAATTGAAAGAGATTAAAGAAAAAAATTAATGAACAGACTGATAGATAGATAGATAGATAGATAAATAGATAGATAGATAGATAGATAAAAAGAATAGATAGAAAAAAATCTTTTTCTGCAATAAGGATGAAATTTTTTAATTAAATGCAATAGGAAATCAAATAGATAGATAAAAATGGAATGATAAATAAAAAAAATAGCCTAAGATAGATAGAAAAAAAGATTAAAAAGAAAAATGAAAAAAAAGATTTTTAGAAAGAAAGAAAGAAAGAAAGAAAAAGCATTATTAAAAAAAAAAGAAAAATTAAAAGAATATATATTTAAAAAAATTTAAATCTTTAAAAAGAAAAATGGATAAAATAATTTAGGATAGATACAAAAAAGATACAAAGAAAGAAAAAAAAGGAAAGAAAGAAAAGGTATCATAGATAGATGGGATGGATAGATAGATAGATAGATAGATAGATAGATAGATAGATAGATAGATAGAATTTTCAAAAAAAAAGACAAAGAAAAATTATCCTTTATTTTTAAGAGACAGATAAATAGAAATATCCTAAGATAGATAGATAGATAGATAGAGAGAGAGAGAGAGAGAGAGAGGGAGCAGTCTCGAACGTCTCCTTGTCGTCTGTTAGATGAAAAAAGTTATAAAAAGCCCTCAAACTAAAATTGTGCCATTGTAGTTTTCAAAAAACAATGAAAAACAACCAGAATTCTTTGAAGAGAATCAATTTCAGACAAATTTATTCAATAATCTCTCCCTTTTTCTTTTCTATTTTAATGGAAGCAGCAGAATTCAATAATTCAATTGGACGATTTAATCCAATTTCCAGTAAAATAAAAAAAGAAAAATACAAAAAAATCAATGTGCATTAAAAAAAATAGAAAAAAAAGCTAAGTTGATGGTTAGCATTCAGAGTTTTGACAAAATGAAATGGGAGGGAAAAATCTAATAACTTTTTATAAATTATAAAAAAATATATATATATATATATATATATATATATATATTTATATTTTATATTAGTATATATGGTGAATTGGGTTTTAAAGGACCATTCATATACACCCAAAGAACATTTAATTTTTTAAACAAGAAATGATTTTGTATTTATTTGAATATAAAATGAAAAAATCTTCATTTTTAAATAAATTAAATTTTATAACATTTAATAAAATGATAATTCAAACAATTTTGTCAAATTTTTTTTTTTTTTTTGTCATTTCAACAAAAAAATAAAACTTGAACAATCATGTATTTCACACACACACACAAATATATATATATAATATATATATATATATATATATATATATATATATATAAAAATTCAAAAAATAAAATTTTCAAAAATTTTGTATAAAACATTTATCTTATCTAGCTAAACATAAAAAATAAAGAAAGGTGTCTTTTTTTATTCATGCTTCTTTCCAAACAATTATATTCTTTTTAATAAAAAAAGATCATAGCACACATAACAATACATAATTTGATGATATACAAACATAAATTGTATAGATAGATAAAATAGATTTTTGAATACATAGATAGATAGATAGATAGAATAGATAAATATTTAAGAATATTAAAATTCATATAGTAGATATAAAAAAGAAGATTAGACTTTATAAAAAATAGGAAATAGATAGATAGATATTTGATAATAGATAGTTATATAAATAGGCTGCAATACATAAATGCTTAGATTTAAATTTTTAAATTTAAATCTTTAAATTTAAATATAGATTGATAAATAGATAAATAGATACTTTAATAGGTTGGTGCAAAAAATTGAACGTAAAGAAAATGATTTTTTTGACGTTAAAAATAATCAAAAAAAGACATTAAACGTCATTATTAGAAACAGGACCTTTTAATATTATAATATATACAATTATAAAAAAAATTTTTTAGAAAATAGAATAATGAATAGATAGATAGAATAGATAGATATAATTATAGATAGATAGATAAAAATATGATATTTAAAAATGATTAAGATTAAAAAATTAAATTTAAAATGTCTAAATTCAATAGATATATAGATAAATAATTTTTACATAAATATGAATTTTCATAGAAATGGATAAACATTGTTTGATATTTTGATAGAGTAAAAGATTTTTTCTGATAAATAAACAGATACATAATTTTTTTTTGAGATAGATTTTAGATAGATAAATTTGAATAGATTTGTTTTTACATATATGTAAAATTAGATTTAAAAGTATTAAATTTTAAATACTTAAATTTCGTAGATTGATAAATAGTTGGTAATGGTAATATATATATATATATATATAAAGAGGTAAATATAAAATTATAAATCTTTTATTTAATAAATTTTTATTCTATAATTTGATGTTTTTTTTAAACTATTTTTTTTGAATTTCCATCGCAAAAAACAGTAATGAAAAAAATTTTTAAATTAAAGAAAATTTTTTCAAGAATTAATTGCTTCAATGTTGGAACCAACTTTTTATTTATGGATTTTGCCTTTTGATGGCTTCATCAATTTTTTTGAAAAGGGAAGGAAATTTTTTTAATAAATTATATTTAATAATAATTAAATTAATTTAATTAATAATAAATCAAATTAATTAATTTTAATATTTAATAATATTTAAATAAATTTTTTATAAATTTTTTACTATGCATTTTAAAAATATTATAATAATCAGCATTAACGATCTTCCTGATGTCAAAAATAAAAAAAAAATAGGCATCTTTGCAGACAACACTGATATTTATTTTGCCTTAATCATAAATAAATTATTGCTTAGGAAACATTTTAATTTGGCTGTTGGTTTTTTTCAACCTCCAATCTAATTTTACTGGGGCAGGAAATGGCTTGAAGTAAATTTTAAAAATTTTTTTCAAAATTAAAAACTGCTTCCTTTAATTGAAAAACAGAATATTTTTTGCCTACCATAAGAATGGCTATTTTAAAAATCCTCAAAGTTTGAAAATTTCTTTACAAAATTCTTTTCTCTCATCACTGTAAATAAAATTGACCTGAGATGGAAAAATAAATTGAATCAATAGATTCATCTGAAAAAAGAAAGTTCTGAAAATAATGCCATGAAGGTTTTTTAAACATGAGTCCATCCTTCAAATTTATAATTCAACCATTGCCCTTGCATGGAAACTACTGCCATATATAAAAAGTGTATTGCTGTTCATCTTATGGTCCTTTAAAATCCAGAGATGGATATGCAATGTGATTTCCTGATCTGGCATCTCAGTTACAGTCACTTTCTCACAGACGTGATGTGGCTTCCTCTGTCTTTTCTACAAATATTTTCACAGCAACTGCTCTGATGAGCTTTTTCACTGGTTCCCAAACTGCATGAATTTAAGCGTTACTACTAGGTTGGCATCTCAGTCCCACCTTTCACTGTAAAACAGTTAAATGTATAGCCATCTCTTCTACTCCAACAGCTTCTTATCTCGCACTTCCGTCTGTGGAACTCCCTTTATCTTACTTGCTTCCCTGATAGCTATAATCTTCAAATATTCAAATGTAATGTCAATCGACATCTTCTGATGCCTTGATTTGTTCTCCCGTCCTTCTTTATCCTTTCCTCAAACACCCCCTTTACTCTTGCTCTCATTCTCTGTAACCCCTTGTGTGCTAGTTTATTCCAGTTTCTTATTTAAGAAAAAAATAAAAAAAATTAAAAAAATTCTAAAAAAATCTATATAAATATTTAAATCTTAAATTCATTTTGATAAATTAAAATCCCTTTCAATTTTTCTTATTTTTTATGATTAATTAAAATTTCTAGAAACAATGACTCAATAAATTTAATAAAAATAAAATAAATTTAAAAAAATTCCCTTTTAATAATTTTTTCTTGGTTTTTAAAGAATTTCTCTTTAATATTTTTTTAAAAGTTACTCTTAAAATATATTTGATTAATTTTCAGTTAAATTTTATCTGAAAATAATAAATAAAAAAAAAAAATATAAAATTTACTTAAATTTAATCATTCAAAACAAATATTAAGATTTAAATTTCATTCACTATTACTATCTGTATCTTTCATTTTTTTTCCATTTTTTGTAAAAATGAATATAATCAAAAAGGTTATTCTTTTTTATATAACGAAAAATTTATTTTAAAATTAAAAATCTGGACATAATTGGGAAATCTTTTTGATTTATGATTAAACTGTTTCAATTTAAAAATGAAATCCAAAAATTAAAGAGTTTAATTTAACATTATAATAAAAAAATTGACAAAAAATATAATTAAAAAAAATTTACATAAAATTGTTTAATTTAAAATATGAAAAAATTTTTTCAAAATTAACCAAAAATCTTTCCTGCATATATTTGAACTCAAAGTTTTCCTACCTATTTAATTTTAAATTTTTCAAAAATAGTTAATTCTACCTTGATAAAAATTACAGAAAGAATTTAAATATATCTATTGCCAATTAAAAAAAAAATTTTTTATTTGTGTGTGTGTCTGTACGTAAATATATTGGATCAGATTTCCTAAATTTTTCATAAATAAAAAAATATACAGGAATAAAAAAATTTCCTTCAGTGGTTCTTAAACTGCATTTGAAAATAAAAATGTTTATAAATAAATCTATCTTAAAACACAATGGTTTAAAAAAAAATTGAAAAAATGAAAACTTTTTTTTAATAATTTAATTTGATGCAATAAAATTTTTTTGGTTGTTGAAAACAACATTTGTGTTATTTTTTACAATATATGGGAATGATTTCCTCCATTTTTCAACTTTTTTCAACAAAATTCTTTTTTTTTTGGCAGGTTTTTGTTTCAATTGTCTGAAAATTTTTTTTTTTTTATTTTTATGATCAGAATGCTTTAAAAATTCCATTTTACAAGACAATTGTTTATAATAAAATTTCTATTCAATCGGTAGACTCAATAAACGATTGAAAAACAATGTTTTTGTTTGATTTTGGGTTTGACCAATTCGTAAAAAAAAAAAAAAAACAAACACAATTTCAATTTTTTTTTTTCAGTCTTTATGATTCCAGAAAATACTTGAAAAAAAATCTCTTTTTGTTACATCTCAGGCATTCATAGAATATTTTTTACTAATATAATATATATATAAACGGCCATACATAAATAAATTGCATTCTGTTGATATTTTCAGACTTGATGAATTGTTTAATTATAAAAAAATAATCCTAAAAATTTATATCATTTGTATATTCATTGTTTGATGAAATGTCTAATGATATTTTTTGAAATTTTTAAGAAGTAGTCGTGGCTCAGGGGCAAAATCATAAAATATGGTTTCATTAAAGAAGAAAATTTAGAGTTCCACCACGGAATATTTGAGCGAGCGGCGCTATATTGAGTCTGATTTGCAATCTCTTCGTCACCGAGACCAAATGTATTTATATGATTTTTATTTTTATATATGTCAATTTCTTTTTAAATAAATATGGAAAATAAAAAATTCTATAAGGATATTGGATGGAAAAATTAAAACCATTTAATTTATCTTTTTATTTATTAAATTCTGTTGAGGTTGGAAAAATGATGAATTTGCTTAAAAGCATCAGGAATTTAGGTTTGAAAATAATTCATCTAAAAATATTTATATATATATATATATATATATATATATATATATATATATATATATATATATATATATATGTAACAGCAAAATTGTCCAAATCATGTAACAGTAAAATTGTCCATCCCACAAAATGTTTAATATCTAAAAAAAAACACTAAACTAATTGAGTTTTTTTCAGGTTTTTTCAGATAAGGACGTTTAGCCACTTGACACCATTTGTTGTAAGAATCACTGAAAAAAACCCTTGACTTATTCTGCCAGAAAGAGAACAGGTTAAAATCGTTTTTGTGTCACACGTTGTGTCTTCCCAACTGAGCAATGGCGAGAGGAAAAAAGATCATTCATGCCTTCAGTAATGGTACCAAAATTCATACTCTGGCTTCCATCCTTAAAGTCCATTCAAGAACCATCAAGAGGACGGTGAATAAGTTTAAAAAAGAGGGAACGGTAGAGAGGAAAATTGAATCAGGAGGTCACAACAGGAAGAGAGATCATCATTTCAACACAGAACTAAAGAGATCAATTAGAAAAGATCCAATTCAATCCATAAGACGTTTGGCATGTGAGAGAGGAGTTTCAACTATGACAGTAAAAACAGCAGTGAAAAAAGACTTGCGAATGAAATCGTACATGAAACCTGTAAGGCACACTGTTACTCCAGGACAGGAAGTTAGAAGGTTAGAGATGGTGAAGATCATCTTGAATAAGTTAAAAAATGATCCTGGATATATATATATATATATATGAATATATATTTCAATCCTTCATGAGCTTCCAATCCTTAGCTATGATTAATTAATGATGAACATGTCATTTTTCGTTTATGATCGATTTTCATCATGATTCTTCTGTTAAACTTTGAGAGAGTAATTATACATTCTTATTGCTCAAAGTAGAGTCCAATAGTGTTATAAAACCTCTGAGAATTCCAGTAAGATATCTTTAATCATTTCTAAGATACAACGGTTCAAAGCTTAATCTAACAATTGGACAATTTTGCTGTTACATTTGGATTATATA